GGGTTAAAAGAAGGCTTAAAGATGAGTAGAGTAGGAGAGAGGTTGAGAAATTAGCAACCAAAACCGGCTGCCTTCGGTTTCTATTTATAGGGCTGAAAATTCAGTTTTCACGTCGTGAACCATCATTTCACGTCGTGGCTTTGGACGTCATCAGGTGCGTAGTCGCGATGTTCAGTCTGTCAGGCTCCAGAAGACGCCAGCACTGAGTTCACGTCGTGAACCCCCTTTTCACGTCGTGAACTCTGACACAGTGTTGGGGTTCGCGCCCCGAACTTCAGAAATTCATAACTTTCGCATACGAGCTCCGTTTTCGACGTTATTTATATCCACGCGTAGGTGAGATTATGCTCTACAACTCTCGTTTAGACTCCGTCGGCTAATTTTGACTTTAATTTTTATTATATTATTTTTAGTAGGTCGGGACAGGAAAACTCCGTTATAAATTCTTCATCCGACGTCAGTTTTCGTCTGTCTTTTTACCGTTGCACTACTATCGACGAGATCTTCGGTTCTCGTTTAGATTGTTTCGGCTAGAAATCACTCGATCTCATATTCGAGTTTCGGGCTGCATACTGCTAAGCTGAAAGTTAGAAAAATCATAACTTCCTCATACGAAGTCAGATTTGGACGTTCTTTTTATGCACGCTCTCGGTTTAACGTATTCTACGACTTTCGTTTAGATCGTTAAGGCTAAAAAGCACTTCCGAGTAAATTCACTATTTACGTCGCGCTGTGTCGTGCCAGTTCTGTCGCGAAACTTCGACAGGTCATAACTTCTTCGTTATAACTCGGATTTCGACATTCTTTATATATCCGGAATCCTTGTAACGACCACTACAACTTAGTTAGGATTGATTATTCACCCTAAATAATCTTCTATCAAAAAGTCATTTTTGACGCTTATCGTCTCTAAATTGGCTAGCCCTGATCTACGAGCGTTACACAAGGGGCGCAAATGCAAGGTTCAAGTGAACATGATCCTGGTGGAAGACAAAGAAGAAGAACCGATAGGGGGAGAAGATACAGAAGGACCCCAAGCCGTTTCGGATTCTGCGATGGTTGAAGTCTCTCTTAATTATGTAGCGCGTTTGACATCCCCTAAGACCATGAAGATAAGGGAATTGATTGGGGGTAAGCAGGTAGTAACCCTAATTGATCCAGGGGCTACACATAATTTTATTTCAACAAGAGTGGTTGATAACTTGTGTCTCTCACTTACCGACACCGAACCATATGGGGTCCAAATGGGAACAGGGGACAAAAAGGAAGGGAGAGGGATGTGCCAGGGAGTCAATCTTCAACTTCAAGACATCGACATTGTTGAAGACTTTCTTCCTTTAAGGCTAGGAAGCTCGAATATGATCCTTGGGATGAAATGGCTGGAAACATTAGGCACGACCCGAACCAACTGGAAGGACCAGACTATGGAGTTCGAAGTAGGAAACCAACAAGTCAGATTAACAGGTGACCCATCTCTCGGGTCCTCTCTAATCTCGATGAAATCCATGGAAAGAGAGCTACAAAGAGAAAAAGAGGGAGTGATGGTGGAGCTAAGCAACCTTGAAACAGGTATGACAAACACAAAGGAGGTTCCTCTTTTTTTACAACTGGTCCTGAAGGAATACGAGAGTGTGTTTCACGAACCAGAAGGTATGCCACCAAAAAGACACATTGAACATCAGATTGTACTCAAAGAGGGTACAGCCCGGTGAATGTGAGACCATATCGGTACCCACATTTTCAAAAGGAGGAGATAGAGTTGAAGATCAAAGAAATGCTTAAAGCATGGATAATTCAAGCAGGCAACAGCCCTTACTCGAGTCCGGTTATCTTACTGAAAAAGAAGGACGGATCCTGGAGATTCTGTGTGGATTACAGAGCCCTAAACCGAGCAACCATTCCGGATAAATTCCCAATCCCCGTGATCGACGAGCTTCTTGATGAACTTCACGGGTCTAACATCTTTAGTAAATTGGATTTAAGGTCCGTATATCACCAAATTAGGGTCCGATGGGAAGATACTCACAAGACTGCTTTTTAGACCCATGATAGCCATTACGAGTTCAAGGTCATGCCTTTTGGCCTCACGAATGCGCCCGCAACCTTCCAATCGCTGATGAACAATCTGTTTCGTCCCTATTTGAGGAAATTTATTTTGGTGTTTTATGATGATATTCTTATCTATAGCCCAACAGAAGAGTGGCATGTGAACCATTTGTCCACCGCCTTGGGAATCCTCACTACTAGAAAATCGCAAAAACGATACACAAGATAGAGTACGGCTGTGTATTTTGACCGTACTTTAATACGATTTTATATTTTTGTTTTTTTGTCCGCCTGTTTTTTTAAATGATCGCCAAATATGCTCTATTTTTTTTTTACCTCCAGAGCACTCATATTTTCATTTGCACGACTTCACCACTTCTCTTACACCCGGCTCCCGAGTTGTAGCAAAGAAAAGAAGAGAAAATAAAAGAAAGTAACGAGAGAAAAAAAGAGAAAAGAAAGGAAAACAAATTTATCATTTGTGCTCCGAGTGGGAGAGAAATGAAGGAAAGTTAAATCCAAAGGAAAGTTAGAAGAGAAAGTTTCCTTCCACTTCCTTACTGTAATGAAAGAAGCATCATTATCTCTTACTTTCCACTTCCTTAAGTTGAACTCGGGAGGAGCGGGGTGTTAGCGTTCACTCATCATCTCGTCACCATGACCACGAGACTATCATCATCTTCGAGCCAGTGACTCCTCCTATTCCCTTGCTAGTTTTGTCAAGAAGGTACAAATGCCCCTGGATATTTCATCTCCTTTTTAATATGTTCCTCTATCGATAATTTTCTGAAAATTTCTAGTGTTTCAATTGGCCTTCTTCTTGTAATTTTAGTCTGTTTTCAAATCTTTATTGTGAATCATTATCTGATATGGCTATATCCTTTCATTTCTCTCCTATTTTGTATAATTTTCTTGTGGTTTGTAATTGCACATAATGTGTTCGATGTAATGCCTGATTCAGATTATTCATATTCTGTTTTACCTAGATTCAGAATCTGATACTTACCTTTTCAATCATGATCAACTGAATGGATTTAGGAAGTCTTTAAATTTCAAATTAGGCGATGGAGTATATAAATTATAAAAGAACAATATCTTCTGAGGAGGTAATTTTTCTGATGATTGTTCATGTTCTTATTATTTTCCTTTTGTTTTTTGATTTAATTAGGTTGAGGTGACAATTTCTAGTGCAATCAGCAGAGATTGATTCTAGAATGCCGAAATATTGGTTAACTGACAATGACTCACCTATGCTGAAGCTACCTGGTATGAAACATTGTGTTTTGATGATTTTTCAAGGTAATTTTGCAAATATACGATTGTTTAATAGTTTACTATTCCCAAATCCTTGCATTGTTGCCCAACTTTACATTTAAAAGTGATTCTATTTTAGCATCCATGTATCTTGAAAATGAATGCTTTATGTTGTTTATCATACTAAAAAAGTAGTATGATACTTACGAATCCATAATCTTTTCGTTTTGTATATGAGTTTAGCCTTTAGCAGATATCATTTTGAGATTACTGCTAGCATGCTTATATATCATGTATGACATCTTCAGGGAGAAGTTTGTCAACATTACTTTTGCCCATATATGCAACTATTATGAATATAAGGTATTGTTTTGAGATGTATGTGTTCAATATTCACAATTTATTTATATCCACATGATTATTGTTTTTTTATTTAATTTTTTTTAATATTGTGGACTCACATGCTTAACGGAAATCAAAGTCATAGTTAACACAATATAGGCCCTTCCCCAACATCAGCAACAAGTTAGTGCCATTATTCCACCATGTATGACATCTTTTGTTATTGTTGCTTGTTTGTTCCTTACCCGAAATTTTGCACAGCAGGCTACTGGTACCAGTTATACCCTCCATGTAAATTTGATCTCTGAACATGACTATTCGTATGATTTTTTCCCTCTTCTTTGTACATATGTATGAACTTAGTATCTTACTACACGTGTTTAGTTTAATGTTACTCTAATAGCCTTTCCTGAAAATTCCTATTGCTTTTTAGGAGGTTGGAGGTAATCATGCTCAGAGTGTTGGGTTTTCTACTGATGGATTTACCACCACAGCCACAGCCATTATGAGGAAATTGCATCTCATATGGGTTTAAATTTCTTTCTTCTCTACCTCCTTTGTTTGTTTCTTTATTAGCTAAATGATTAAATTTGCAGCAAACAGGTGATGATGAATGAGGATACTAGAAGAATGCATAAAGTCAGTGATGATGTCAAAGGAGAATACTTAGTTTTTTTCCCCAGGACACTCAGGTATCACAGCCTTCATTTTTGCTATTATTTAAGTTAAAATCTCTAAAATTGTTGTTACAGTTTTGAGTTTTTGGTTTCCACTCTAGATTAGCATTTCTTGAAGAGAATAATAACAGTCTGAAGAAAATAGCAAAACTTGAAGATCTTGCTGAATATTCAAGACTAGGACTTGTTGTAATTTATAAGCTCTATTCTTGTGGTGACTATACATACACTATTTTATATTTTAACAGGAGATCTGATCTTGATATGAACAAACATGCTAGCAATGTTACCTACATTAATTGGATGGGCTCTTGAGGTTAATAATTCCGTATCAACTTGAAATTTTTTTTGCAATTTGTTCATATTTTGGTGAATCTTGATGCGTTCTTTTTCTTTTTCTTTCAAAAGAGCATTCCACCAAAAATCATTGACACCCATGAACTGGAATGACATAGTTGATTCACTTTATATTTTTGTTTCCTCATTAATGCAATGGATGGCTCATTAACAATGTAATTTGTTAGTTTTGTTGGTTTGTTTAATGTTGCTGGAGTACCGATTAATATTGTGGAAAAGAGAATTGGAATATAGTACGGTTAATGATGTGTATTATATGTGGAATAAAGTGTGTATTATATGTGGAAGTATTGTAGAGATTCTATTATGGCCCTAATCTAATACACCCCCAATATAATACAGGATGCTCTCCCGTACTCTATTTTGGTAAACAACCGTATTCTATTTATGTTTTTCTAGTAGTGCCTCCAACAGAATCAACTGTATTTGAACTTAAAGAAATGTGAATTTGGCCAATCTAAGCTCTCATACCTGGGGCACGAGATCTCTAAAGAAGGGGTTGCAGCTGAAGAGACCAAGATCCGTGCTATGGTAGAATGGCCAACACCCAAGAACATTAGGGAACTACGAGGGTTCCTCGGCCTTACGGGTTACTACCGTAAGTTTGTGAGGGGGTACGCTAACATAGCAACTCCCTTGACAAACCAATTGAAGCGAGATAAATTTGGCTGGAATGAGTTAGTAGAGCAGGCTTTCCAGAAACTTTTCCAGAAACTGAAGTCAGCAATGACCACATTACCAGTGTTGGTTATGCCTGATTTTTCAAAAACTTTTGTGGTCGAGACGGATGCATCCGGTTACGGTTTAGGGGCAGTTTTGATGCAAGATGATAGGCCGGTGGCGTTTTACAGTAGTACTTTGGGAACACAAGCGAGGTTGAAGTCCATATATGAGAAAGAACTCATGGCGATTGTCAAGGCTGTTTTGAAATGGCGACCTTACCTTCTTGGAAGACGGTTTATTGTTCGAACCGACCAATTGAGCTTCAAGTATATTTTAGAACAACGGGTGATAGGTAATGACTATCAACCTTGGGTGGCCAAACTCATGGGGTTTACATTTGAAATTCAGTACCGAACCAGAGCAAGCAATCGAGTTGCGGACGCTTTATCTCGTCGAGTGAACCCACCTGAGTGTAGTACCCTCCTGGTTGGATGTTGGAATTTTTGGGATCAACTGATAGAATAGATCATACGGGATGATTTCATAAGCAAAATTAAGAAGGGGGTGGAGTCCGAACCAAACGGTTACAAGGGGTTCATTGTATTCCAAGAGAAATTAATGTACAAAGGAAGGTTGGTGGTTCCTGCAAAAACAAAGTTGATCCCAGATATTATAAAGGAGTACCACGATTCACCAATTGGGGGGACATTCGGGCGAGAAGAAGACATACCAACGAATCGCCAACGAACTCTATTGGGTCGGAATGAGAGGCGACATCAGCAAATACGTCAAAGATTGTACGGTTTGTCAACAACATAAGCATAGTACATTGTCGCCGGTCGGGCTCTTGCAACTGCTACCAATACCGGAGAACATTTGGGATGAAGTCACTATGGACTTCATCGAAGGGCTACCCAGGTCGGAAGGGTGGGACACCATTTGGGTGGTGGTCGATCGGCTAAGCAAATATGCTCATTTCATACCCCTCCGACACCCCTTCACAGCAGCTACGGTGGCTCAGGTCTTTATGAAGGAAATTGTCCGTCTTCACGGGATGCCAAAGTCCATTGTGAGCGATAGAGACCGTATTTTCCTGAGTCAATTTTGGATGGAGCTTTTCAGATTGCATGGAGTTCAACTGAAGCGGAGCACCGCCTACCACCCACAAACGGACGGGCAGTCGGAGGTGGTGAATCGGTGCCTAGAGACTTATCTCCGCTGTTTCTGTTCTGAGAAACCCAAGCAGTGGTACCGATGGCTGGCTTGGGCGGAATTTTGGTATAACACCTCGTTCCACTCTTCCACCAAATGCACTCCTTTCCGAGCTGTGTATGGTCGGGATCCACCTCCGGTACTGCGGTACGAGGGCCAAATCACTGTGCTGGATGCTCTGGACAAGATGTTAGAAGACAGAGATGCCATCTTGGATGACTTGAGAATGAACCTCCTAAGGGCTAACAACAAATGCAAACTCAAGCAAAAAAAAAACATGAGAGATGTGTAATTTCAGGAAGGCGACATGGTGTATTTAAAACTGAAACCTTACCGACAACAAAGTCTAGCTCGCAGACGTTACGAGAAATTGGCAGCCCACTATTATGGGCCTTTCAAGATCATCGGGAGAATTGGGAAAGTCGCTTACAAATTGGAGCTGCCCAAAACAACCTTGATACATCCGATATTCCACGTATCTCAACTGAGGCCGGCTTTTGGAGTCCCTGTTACCCCAGTTGAGCTACCATCACAGTTGAATGCTGATTTGGAATTAATGGTCCACCCCGAAGAGTTCAAGGGGGCAAGACTCAAGAAAGGTAGCAGCACGGGAGAACTTGAAGTCCTGATTCAATGGCAGGGAACTAACGAAGCTGAAGCAACATGGGAGGACTATGAAAAGCTCAAACAGCAGTTTCCAAGTTTTGACCTTGAGGACAAGGTCAAGGTTTGGGCCGCCGGTATTGATAAGCCCAAACCATTCTTGGGGTATCAAAGAAGGAACAAGAAGCCCAAAACAGGGACAAGCCCAATCAGGGAATCAACATCTTGAATCGTGGGGGAATATTTCCTTTTTGTTGATCGGTCATTTTTGTTTTTGTTGTGAGCATTATCTTTCTTGTGCCAGCTGTCCCTGGGACCATTAGGTGGTTGTGTGATATTTCCTTTTTGCTTTTGGTTTAGTATTTAACCTCTTGGGTGTAGTAGTGTTAGCCAGGAAAGAATTACATAGGTGCTGTTTGTTTTTTGGAAAAAACCTCTTTAGACTTCTTATTGTTGCGCGGCGCAGCACACGCGCAACACTTTCCATCTCGCAGTTGTTTGTTTTTCAGAAGTCTTCGGATTAAAAAACCTCTGCGCATGTTCTTCTTGGCGCAACACTTGTTTTGCCTCTTCCTATGTAACATCCGGATTTCCAGGGACATTATCGTGTATGTTATTCTTGACATTTGAGGAGGGACTCGACGAGTTGAGGGACCAACTCGTCGAGTCGAGTCGAGTTGATCGCGTGAATTTAATGAA